GTCACAGGGGGAATTTTTTTGGCCTCCTGGGTTGGAGCCACAGAACAGCACAGTAACATGGGCTAGAGGCTCGTATGGCATCCAAGATTAGGGCTGATCCTTGGCTACCTGGGCTGGGGACTGATGGTTTATTTCACTCGAGCCTGTACTTTCCTTTCTCAGGGAAGGGTGTACCACAGCTACTCCCACAGCAGAACAGCTCCCACCCTGCGTCGACGAGCGGTTTCCAAGAGTTCCCTGTGAGCCATGGACAGTGCCAGGGAGCATTGGGGTACCCTGCTCCGAGATGCAGAGAGAGACCAGCGGCTACTGCAGGTACCAGCAGGAACTGCCAGCACAGGAGAAACACCACCACGCACAGAGTTTATAAAACTGAGGACAGGAGGCTGCCCAGTGTAAGGCAACGGTTTATGCAGAATTGGCGAACATTTGTTTCACAGTTTGTGAGGGCTTACAGTTAGTTTATGTAAACTGTGAAAGAGCATTTGAAATCATCTAAACAACCAACAGCTCCCTCTAGAAGCAGGTGGGACGCTGGGAGGTGGGTTTCTGCAGGGCTACCCAGCACAGCAGCAGCCAGGCTGGTGCAGACCTGCGCAGCGAACTGCGTTACATGTTTCAATCACTCGTACAATTGCCTCACAAATCTTCCTGGGTGCAATCGAATAATTTGACCTTCCCATTTTCTGCTGCACATTCATTTGTTTTGCCTTTCCTGGCTCATACGTCACTGTCGCTTGTCCCCTGATTGCACTGTCAATGAGCTCAGGGGTTGAAGCTTCTGACGAAGCTGACAGCCAAAGGAATTCAGGAACCGGACTTGCAGGGCTGGGTCCTCGCTCCCAAAGGCCCAGGAAGGTATCGCATGAGGTCACCAGCGCCTGACTTTTTCCATTGCAATATCCAGATAAAACATACAAGCCTGTAAAAAAAAAAAAAAGGACTTATCTAGTCTGAATTACTATCTTATTTTTTAGCTATAATAGGAGAAAAGATCTTCCTCAAAATGCTCATGTCTCAATATTACAGTCCTGCAATAAGATACATGCAGGTAGGGCCTATGATGGCAAAACTCTCCCATTTAAGTGGAAGTCCTTCTAGGCTCATGTCTCTGAATATTTGCTTTTTAAAGGAGGGCAAGACAGATCAGGTCCACATGGACCAAATGATATCTTGATATGGCATTTATTGCTAACGGAATGCAGTTTTCTCCAAGTAGAACTTTTTTCAGATCTTAAGCATCCACTTTCCTTAATAGGTCCCACTATGAGTACCCATGAGGTCTTCCCTTCTTGCTCTTTTCTGCACACATCAGCAATGGTTTCCAGATTTCTTTCCCATTTTACATGTACACACATCCTTCCATGAGTTAACTAAATATCTCAGATCCTACTCATGGTAGAGCCGCAGGCACCCTATGGACCAGCTTCAGCTCCCCTCTTCCCTGGCGCAGCAAGGGCTGGAGCTCATCCTCCCTGGATGCCTCCTGTTAACCATTAACCTTCTGATCAGGAGCCTCCCCCAGGGTGAGAGCTGGGCAGACAGGATGAGGCTCTGTGCTCGCTGACGCAGTACCTGGATGTTGCTCACCAGCCTGGGCTACGGCACCAAGGACACTGTTGCATCCTCCGCAGCCAGGAGGAAATGGCCTGCCTCTTGTAGGCAGGATAGGTACCTTGAGTTGAGTAGTAATTAATTCATTATCTCAACTCAGTCCAGCTGGGTAAGAATGATTGGTGCCATAATTCCCCCTTTTTGTTTTACCATTTTTTCTGTTTTCACAAAGGCTTTACGGGTGAGCAGAGACCCAGCCCATTCATCCAACTCCAGCACGCTTCCCTCCCGTGAATACCACGTCGGGGCTTGCGGCTTTACCTTCTTCTCCGAAGGACTCTCGCTCGAGCTCCCGGCTCCGGCTCTTTTGGCTCGGGCTCTCGGCTTGGCGAGGGAGTCGGGGCTTCCCAGGGTCTCACCGATGTATCACGTCGGGGTCACCAGTTGTCGCTCACCAGCCTGGGCTGCGGCACCAAGGACGCTGTTGCATCCTCCGCAGCCAGGAGGAAATGGCCTGCCTCTTGTAGGCAGGATAGGTACCTTGAGTTGAGTAGTAATTAATTCATTATCTCAACTCAGTCCAGCTGGGTAAGAATGATTGGTGCCATACCTGGATATGCCCAGTGCAGCACAGCATCAGCCTTTCTCACAGCTGTCGTATGGCACTGCGTCACACTAAAGCAAGCCCTCCAAAAGTTTGTTTGTTTTGGCATTACTGTCACTCCAGTTCTCCCTCTGTAGCAAGTATGTGATATAAATGGTATTATTTCCCTCCCAACCTCACACACATCCCTCCTCTCACCATGCAAGACTGTCTAACCTTTCTATGGTTTATTGCCCGACTACGCCCTCCTCCACGGAACTTTTTTATCACTACTTAGCTCTCACAGTGCATGCAGGATTTTTTTTTTTTCTTATTACCTGGTGTTTAATTGGTGGGCTGTTTCCTCCCTCAGTAACGCAGATACCGGATATCAGCAGCCCTCACTTCTGTCTCTTGGAAAACAGGACGTTTCCTCCTTACTCTGTACACACGTTTTGTCACTATAGCTTTTGCATCACATTAGGCAAGAGAGTTCGCACTCCTCTCCTGCTCAAAACACACAAACCACACAACATCCAATTATTCTTTCTTGGAACTCAAATAAAAATTAAAAACTGCATTCACTTCTATATTTTTGTTTTAACCTAAGTTTCACCAGTTCCAGCAATTTTAAAATCTCAGAAGTCTTTGACCACTTCTGTGTCTAAGAATTTAAAAGCCAAACCTGGTGATGGCCTCTTACTCGGCTTTGACTGAGAGATGAAAGCAACAGATTGAGGTGGAAAACATATCACCTTAAAAGAACAGCAAAAAAGTTGAATAATACACAACAAGGCAACTTTTCTGTTATTTTATTGATATTAGTGAAGAAAAATTTAAATTTCATCTTTCTGATGTGTTACAATTGCTTTCTCTGGTGGGTGGACAGTTCCTACTGCTTATTTAAAGCCTAAATAATACTTCCTGATTGCATGATTAACTTCTACACTTTAAGTTCTCACATGGTATTGCTTTCTTCCTCTGGGTATATAAAATGGTCCATTAAGTCCATGATTTTTTTCAGAATCAACTGTTATTCTATCTACTGTTTTAAGATACATTCAAATAAGAAGATACTTCAATTTACTTGCAATAAGTGCACACATACAACAGCAAAGAGAGCTGATGACATTTTACTAAAACATTTTAAGTTCATAGAATAAATAGAAGTTTTCAAACACATGCAGTAACTGACCGATGTGTTTTTTCTTTCTCAAAAAATATCCTTAGTGTCCATAGCACTACCGCAATAACTACTTCATTCAGGAAAAAAAAAAAAAAAAACACCCACCTATCTGTCATCACAGAGACTAAAAGACAGTTTCATTTATACGAGAAATTATCAGTGCTAATGATTTAGTTAACAGTCTGGTACAAATGGCAATTCATGGTAATTACGTGTAGTGTGATTATGGTAACAAACGAGGACTTTGATTTAGATGCCACAAGAAGTGCAAGGAAAAGAAAGCGGATGTTAAACCCTCTCCCCTTTGCTCCTCTCCATCTCTACTTCCAAAAAAAATATAGGTCTCAGCTCAGCTCTACAAGCAAGATCTCTCCAGTCTGTTCCAGTTTCAGGATATTTCAGCTCCTCCTACAAGCACCCAGCAGAAGTTTGGGAGAAACAGAGAAGAAAACTGTGATGTAAATTAGGATCGCCTGGCTGTAACTAAAGGTTGTGTGAGATTGTCTTTTTATTTTCTGAAAAAGTGGGAGTTATACGTTTGGTATTAGGAGGTGGGTTTTTTCAGTTTAAAAACACTGTGGAATAAAGCGTTTCTCGTGTTTTTACCTCTGCCAAGGTCCAACTTTGGATGAAAAAAGAAAACAGAAAATGAGTGGGAAATATTCTCACCCTGCTTATAAGGCCATGGTCCTCAACATGCATGAAACCTGGAGATCAGCATGAGGATTGCAAATTGCTCTTTCCAGCATGTACCACTCCGTTACTAAATGTTTTTTGCAGTTCTCTGCTGAGGTTTCAAGGACACACCTTTTCCTAATACTGTTTTTGCTACATGTTCTTTTATAACATTCGTATCTGTCAATCTGTTCCACAACTTTTGACTTCTAGGAAGTCACTGCCATGTTTACCTCATGAGTTGTGAAAACTGTTTTCTTTGGGGACACTGACAAAGTATGCTTCAGTGGCAGCAACACACAATAAAGCATTTTCCCTTCCACAATCCAATGCAGCATTGAAAAACAAAACAAAACAAAAAAACAAAATAGAAGTCGCACAGAGTGTAAGTGTGCCAATGAAACAGCGGTGGCAGGAATATGTCAATATTCCAGGTACCCAGTAGGCCTGCTGACCTCAACACAGTATTAGTTCAAGTTTCACACCTCCGGGAGGAGAAGAATACGGAACAGAAAAAGAGAAAAAAAAAAAAAAGTTTCATTCATTCAGGCATAATAGCCAGGCACTCCAATAACTCCGCTCAACTCATCTACAGAAGCAAAATTAAAACTACCGTGTGTTAAACTGAGTGCTCTTTTCAGCATTTAACGAAGCACACAATTGCTCCCATGCTTCAAGTGATGTAACGCAAGGTCTAACATAACACATTCAATAGCTTCCCATGCACCTTTGACTTGAGTTAGGCTAGCTACAGAATTCATGTTTTCCTAGTCAAGTTATTTTTTGTTGGTTTTGTTCTTTCATTTTTTCAGTGCATCTTAAAAAAAAAACTTTTTCAAAAGGTTAGTAGGTTATAACCTTAATACAGCAATCATAACGTAGAGCCTTTTGAACTCAATTGAACAGTAAAATAATCCAATTAGTTACAACAGATCTGGTACATATTTACACATTTTATACAAAGTTTACACATTTCTCCCATTAGGCACGAAGTTGATTTGTCAAACTCAAGAGGCAAATGGAGGGGTAGTGGGGAAAGGAAAAGAGGATTGGAGAAAGAATCTGAGTATTTTTATTTAAAAAGACTAGCTGTAAAAATAAAGTCCTTCATCGTAAGCTAGTTTGCTTCGGGAGCTTGGTTCCCATGAGGATCCCCGAAGTGAGAGACGTCGGGCCTTTCATCTGCATGCTGGAACCCACCATGGTGGGGAAGCTCCGATTCCTTCGGATGCCCGTGTTCAGCTGGATGCCCCCGATAGCACTGGTCACAGCAGGGCAGCCCAATGGTAGACCGTCTGGTGCCAGGCCTCCAGGAACAAGGGCCCTCACCGGTCCTTGAGCCCCACAGAGAAGAGGTCCCTGGTCATCAGTTAAAGGAGGAGCTGACGTTTGCCCTGAACTCACAACTTTGGCGATACCAAACCTCTTGACTTTGTCCACAAGATTAAGGTTGGAAACAGACACGTCAGTCTGACTCTCACTGTTCCTGATGTTCTTTTTATTCCTCACCTCCTTCAAGATTGAACTAGCAGGCTTCGACGCCAAGAAGTTGTCATAAGGTGGGCTGGTGCACTTGAACTCAAAAGATGGAGGGGAAGAAGGTGGCGTCTGCATAGGTGAGTTCGGTGGAGTGGAAGGAATGATCGCCATTTTAGGGGGGTACGTGTTCAGGAGGGTGCCTTTGCTGGCTCTGTCCCAGCTCTGCGGATTGTACACTGCTGCTGAGATGCCCCTTTCCTTCAGCAGCCACACCAGTCCCAGAGACGTGCTCATCGTTGTAGTGGATTCCCGGAGGTTAGTGAAGGATTCGGCCAGACTCAGACGCCGAGGAGTACAGGGAGTAGCCACTGGGGTGCCTTTCAAATTGCTAATGCTGCCACAAGCTGGAGTAGGTGCTGCGTTAAGGCTGAAAGCAAAGAAGCAGGAAAATTATTCCATCAAGAAATCAAAACTTACTGCAAGCAGGATTTTTAACCCTGAACGGGGCCTTTTATCCATTTTAAGAGTGGGCGGGAAACTGACAGTTCCCAGCTCCTCACAAACGTGATGACAAGTGCAAAATCATCACCTCTTACAAAACGCATCTCTCCACTTTGCATACTTCACCACCCAGACTCATGGGATTAACGCATTCCTAAACATCACCACATTTCTTCTGATAAACAATTAAATTGAAAGTTTTGTGATCCACACCTTCATCTTTTTCTTCCTGATCTGGCTGTCACAACTCCCAGTTGCTTCCATGAGACAGAGAAATGGGAGTACTTGACTGATAGTATAAGCAAGCAGATTTACTTTTTAGTGCCACTTCTGAGCACACAGAACTGCCAGACCTTCTAGCACTGCTGGGTCATAGCAGAGACCGTGGCAAGGGAGGAGGGGAACGTATTTGCTACAGAAGCATTTGTAGCAAAGCTGCTGGAAAGTTGGCACTGTCACCAACATGCGCTCCTGCAAAGTCAAATGCTTCTTCCCTTCTTACATAGAATTTGCTTTCATTTAAGGGGAAGGGGATGTGGGACCTGACTTTTGATAGAGGTGCACAATAGCGTGAATAATCATCAAAAGCATGAAAAAAACACAGGCAAGCTCTTGGTTGTCAATTGGCCAACGGGCAACCGATAACTCAGCAGCAAACCAAACATGACACAGAGCCATTGTACTGTTAATTCGGTAAAACATTAATTTCTATAGTTTGAAACATAGCTAAATTGCTCCTCAAGTCCAGTTCTTTCTTCTCAGAATAAGTGATGTACAGGCAGCGGACAAGAAAATATTAAAAAGGCAATAATCTGCACATTTAGAACAAGTGAGAGACACTACATACTTAAGTTTAGTGCTATCTTACTGCATTTTGTTTTCTTAAGTAAGACTACTGCTGATGTTAGGGGTTGGGATTTCTTGAGGCATATCAAATAGCATTCATTCTGTTAGACTGTCCTTTCCCCATATGCTGACCACCTGAATGAACACAGAACCAATGCAGCATCTATTTCCAAAGAATTTCCAACACAAAGGAGATATTCCAAAGCTTTTGTGTCCCAGTATGAGATCTCATAGACACTGAGGTTGGAGTGTTTCTGGCACTACAGTGCCATCCTTAAAAAACTTGTTCCTTATAGATCAAGTTAGCCACAGCATATTTACCTATGGATAATCCCCACTCAAAATTTATGGCAGTCCAAGGTACACCATTCATTGGGTAAGTCGTGGTATACTCAGTTATTCCAGAAACAAGGCATGTGGGAAGGACATCCATGACACTTCAAATTCATGTCTATTTGGGAGAATCCTAAGGGTTCCAAGCACCTTTTAAAAAAAGCTTTCCAACTATTTCTAACTATGCCCAAATGATGGGGTTTTTTGCCACATATACAAAGAAGTAAATTCCACGGTAATACTTCCTAGGTGTGGATTCAGCTGCTCTAATGGCATTTAAAGTGTCTTGAACAACGCAACACTTGATGCTAACAGAGAACTCACTGACCTGAGAGCTCACTACTGTTCAAAGCAGGAAATCTTTCCCCTTATCTTGCCACATTAGGAAGTAGAAGGTGCTCAGCAAAGAGTCAGACAAAACCCAAAGCCAATGCAAGAGAGCAGGAAAACTAAGCAACTGAGAGGGCAAGGAAAAAACAATCTCCCCTTTTCAGCAGAGTCACACTGTGGGATCAGCTCAGCCATAACACACAACTTTAACTTATGTTGGGTTTTCTGTACCAAGAAATGCATCAAACATAGATGATGTCTTGACTGGAATTTGCAGCCTCATTTCACCTTATGCTAATGTACTCTGGGTAGCGAGCACTACTGTGAATGTCAGGTCAGACATCCTGGAACGTTCTGTTCTGGGCCTCAGCTTTGATAAGCTTAGAACTTCATCTAATGGTATATAGTGATCAGCTGATATGAGTTAATATAATACTACCTACCCTAATCCACTCATCTTCTAAAAGTCAGCAGTACTTTAACATCTTTAAGGCACTTAATTAAGGGAGTATTAACCTGATGTCATAGAAAGTTTTAAGTCATGTCTTCTCTCCATGATTAAATAGGATCTGATCAACGCGATTTCTACAGTGATTTGGAACTGTACCAACTTCTACCATAACGAAGTGAAACTGCCAAGGATTTTTACCCTGCAGCTGTGATTCAACAAGAGGAATCCCATAGATTCCTACTTGTAAACTGTGGCGAAACGCGTTTGAGAAAACTAGTACGAAGAATGGCGTAATTTGAAAAGCAGCCTTGCAAAGTGGCTCTGGAATTGGTCGTCTTGCAACCCTCTGCGCACTGTGGCTGTCAGTGCAGGTGGCAGATGCGCTAAGGCACAATCTCCATAGGTTCTCTTCATTCTGCCTGGACTGAATCAGCGGCAGGGCAGAAGGACTCCTCACTGCAGAGCTAAGGAGGAGTCCTTCTGAAGGCAAGGCTGAGCGGAAAGGAGAAGTCAGGTCACAATCCTCCTCCTAAGCAGTCATTAAAGCTGGACCTTCAGAGCTCTGATTCCAGTTCATGGTGGAACTAAAGAGCAGTGACAGCCACTGTGATGTATCTCCCACACTGGTTAAACACACAAGTACAGAACTCTTGAAAAGCATGAGGGAGGGAAAAGAAAGAGAACTTACTGCGTGAACAGACTTTATACAGAGTATATTTTGGAAACCCAGACATTGGGTATTAATTATCAGGCTTCTAAGATATCCTTGTCACAAGATTAAAACTACAGCACTCCCATGGCTTATTAACTCCAACAGTTTCATTCTTTCCGGCTCCAGATTTCAGTTGCACAGATATTTAGATTAGTATTTCTACTAATTTGTCAGCACAGGTACACACTACAATGCAATTAAAGAAAGACAGACAACCCTGCAAGAAAGTGGCTGTTAGGTAGGCATTGCTTTTTTTCGTTTGTTTAATCATTTTGGTATTGCTTTAACCGGGAAATATTTTCCCCATCAAACTGACCAACACTGCAGAGCAGCCTGGACACAACCACAGGAAACAGACTCAAACTGGCCTCAGCAGCCCAGCAGCTTAGCCCAGTTCAGAGTTAGACTTAAAAAAGAAACAAATAATTGAGAACCTCATTTAGCTAGATGAAATTTAGTCAGGTTAGGGCGTCACCTGGGTTAGAAGGTAGGTTAAAACGCAACCAGGTAGGCAAATACCAGAATTCTTTGGGTTAGCTGGTACCACACACACTAGCATTCCTTGTACGTGCCCCTGCCAGCGCAGACACTGCTGGCAGTGTTGCTCACCCCCTGTCACGCTGGGTCATAGTGTCTGCCCTATACCTCCTCTCAGCATAAGGAGACATAACGCAGTTTCCTCGTCCTCCTCACATGACCTGTGAAGAATTGTTTATAGCTGGTAAGGAGGAGCTCCTTAAACATGTCTGCTGAAAACATCATACTGTTTATTTTGCTCTTTTTCCTCTTGAATGAATGATGAATTTTGGCATAACTAAGGCACCTGAAAACATACTAAATTTAGCTGTCAGTTAAGGCTGACTTGTTAGATTCAGTAACCAATGTAATTGAGGCATTTCTTATGACCACAATTAACAACAGCAATTCAACAACAGTAAGAAAATTATAAGAGAACTGCAGTCATATAAAAGGATCTCTTCAGCAACAGTGTTGAGGGGAAAATAAGACAGAAAAGAGTAAAGAAAAAACAGCCAGACCACAATCAACTAATTTTGTTCAGAAAGGGAAGCAGGAAGTTACATTTAATCATCATCCATTTCCTTTCCACCTCAAAGGTTTTCCTATTTTATACTCTTAACTTTTCATGCGTTCCTTAGGCGATCAGTACCTATCTCATGCCTAAACAAGTCTAGATACATCATCTCTGAATGGGGACCTACACAATGGTACACCCCCATACAGGGGCTGGAAAGGACAGAGAGAGCAACGAGGCATTGTCCTTCTAAACAGAAAAAACATTCTTTAAATACTGATTTGCTAAGGAAGGAAAGTTCCCTCTTTAGGTATGAAATTCGTTCACCCTCTCTGGTTCTCAGATCTTCACCTTGAAGGTGTCCCTGCCCATGACAGGGGGGTTGGAACTGGATGATCTTTGAGGTCCCTTCCAACCCAAACTGTTCTGTGATTCTGTGATTGCCTTTTATCAGCATATACATGCCAACTCGCTACTATTAAGCCAGTTCATTAATTTCAATCTGGCTACTATGAACTCATTTCCTACAATTACACCAAGGAACAAAGTAGCTGGCTCCCTGTTTTTTTTTGATCAAGGCATATTTCCTCCTCCATTCCTCATGTACTTCCTGGATTTCTTTACCTGTACATCCCTTTTTCTTCTGCACCAAACATTTAGTTTTTTCCTCCTGGAACAATCTCTCTTGTATTTTTTGTGAGAGACCACATCCTGCACATTCACACATGAAGACTACAACTAGTTTGGGAACAAGGGTAGTCAGGTTTGGATACCGGAAGCCAACTTAGTTACATCTGATCCTACAATATTTCAACTAGAGACAACAACATTTGAGATATTTTGGTTGGCTAAAACATTACACATGCCTCTCAAATAAAATCAGATTGAAGTAACTCAAAATGGGAGGAATAATTTGGGGGTACGTTGTAATTCATCAATGTGGCTAATGCTTTTGCTTATGCCATTACTTTGCATTTCCTTAGAGCGAGAAGTCTGACAGAGCTGAAGGCTTTGCCATCACAGAAAACCCTTACCTTGGTGTGACTCGTGTGAGTTCATCAGAAGGGTGCAGAATGCGGCAGGTGGTGAAGGTGAAGGTGGAGTTGGTTTGTGACATGCACTTCCCAGGATGAGGTACTAAATTAAAAAAAAGCAAATTCTTTGCATTTTGCACAGAAAAGGGGAAAAATCAAACTTCTGTGTGCTAAGACAGATGCAAAAAGTGATGAGGTACCTTGGACAGGATCAATGCAAGACAAGGGAAATACACAAGTGCTACAGTGTTCTAACAGACACTTGTTCTCCAAACCAAACATATCTAGGACTCCAAAGCCAGTGCGAAAAGGGTCTGATGAAACTTCCCCATGATCACTAACACCCCAGATAAGTCTTGTTCCAACCAAACGTAGGCAAGGCAAGCTTGAAATGCTAGTCCTCATCTAAACTAGCAACTTCCATCAATGGGAAATTACAAGCAGCCTTTTCTAGCACCACCTCAGGAGCACTAAGATTTTCTGAATGTTCGTGCATTTCAGCTTTTAGATTGATCCACAAAAAGGTATCCTCATTACTTCTCAGTAATGGATCCAGCTTGCTAATACTACAGGAACGTAGGTTGTTGGGGCAGGGAAGGGACGGACATATAGCATAGTTCTCTGTGTCTGACTTTTCACATCCACAGTAAGGAAAAGTAATAGTTTTTTGGATCCACTACTGTACATCTGTGGCATTTCTCTTGTGCATATGCTGAGGTTCTTTAAGAATGTATGTCCCTAGCTGCACAACAGAGCAGTTTTTGAATATTTTTAAACAGTATAGTAAACAATTTTCCCAACAAACGTGGCTGCAAAGATGCCACTCTGTATCAGTAATTTGAGAAAGAAGCAGTACAGTTCAATTTAAAACATGAAGGTCTTAGGCCAATTTCTTTCTCCGTAGCAGAGCTACTTCTCTGGATATACTAACCTGCTGTATAATGCAGCTGTGGCCATTGCGAAATAACTACAAAATTTAAGAGCCATGCATCTGAAAAGCTGGTTGGAAAACACTCAGAGTTAAATATTACATCAAAGACATCATGATTGCATAGGTCCTCTTAGTAACCAAAATTAGCAGTGGTCAAAAGACATGCACAATAAAAACTGTGTGCAGCTCCCTCCCTCTCACTCCTACCCAACCCTTTGAGCCATTCCCTGAGTAAGCCACATTTAATACCACAGTACACAACTATTCAACACATTGCAAAGGACAGACGGACAGACCAACCAGACCAGACACCATTCTGAACTTCCAGAGATGCTTAGCAGAAGCAAAGCAAGTCTTAATCGTGGCTGTGTTCCCTTTTTCATAGATAAAGTATCACGGCTCCCAACTAGTGTGTGCAGTTCGGTAGTCCTTTAAGAGCACATATAAGCAGTGTGTGAAGGCTAGAGCATGGGGAGGGTGAACAGTGGAAGCAGAAGTGGCTAAGCAAACAATGTGAGGTAACTTCCAGTTGGCGCTGGAATGTACTACTGTACATTAAAGAAGGTTATTTCTGAAAACCCGCTGGAGTGTCATGTTAGCACACTCAAATATCAGCACGGCATAACATAACAACAAGCTCTACTTCACCTCCAGAGACGGTAATTATGAAGCTTCAGGAATCCAGTCGCTTTAGAGATTAGTGTGAGCACTATAAAAGCTACTACAAGGGAGCACAGCCTAGCAATCATGATTCTCTCCATATTGCAGAGAGTAAAAGAAAATCTGGAGAAAGAGCTCAAATAACTGGACATGAAAAAACTGGTTATTTAGAGAAAACAAAGGACTTCAACATAAATCAAGTAGAAACAGAGCAATTATCCCTGGATGATGAATAGAGAACAGAGTAAAGCAATGCCGGTTTAAGATTGCAAGCTCAACTCAAAGCACATAGCTGTAATACAGTAAGTGCATTTTCCCCATTTGTAATATGCTTTGGGCATCCCCTCAGATTGGAAACAGGCATATTGAAGATACATAGCTGCGTTAGCAAAAGCAAGACTCATTGCTATTAATGAGTCAGAGATAGGAGAAGGCTGCTAAAAGTAGAGAAATCACCGATTCTAATAAGAGGAAAAAAATTGAAGTTATTAAACCCAAAAATAATCAATTTCCAGGGATGTATTCCACCCTTAAATACCACTAAGAAAGTCCTGTACCAGCTTCATCCTCCATCAGTCAACAATGGGGTGTATCATACTGCTGTAGCATTTTCCATCCTTTGGACACAATACAAAGAGAGAACCTGTTGCTGCAAATGAACAAAGTTTATAAAATAGAAGCAAAATGATTCATTCCTAACCTAGTAATTTTACATAACAATGGCCATATCCTGAGTTGATACAAATTTGTGAGGAAGTAATATTTAAGTTTACAAAATGAGAGACTATCTTCACATGCACATACACCAAAGTATTCTTTTAAATATAAACATCTGCTCCATGTGACTGTGGCTGAAATCAAATGTTTTACTTATACCCTCTTTTTTCAAAGAAGTAGATGATCAACAATGAGGCTTCGTGTCTGTATGAAAAAGAATCTGTACACAATTCAGTGTTGAAAAAAATGTACAGAAACATCATGTAATTTTATCCATCAGGAAACCATAAACTAAACTGTACATGCATTTTTCCCCCAAAATTAAAATTCAAGCTAAACTTCAAATTGCTGCTGGATTGCATTTTGTCTCTCAATACTTAATGATTCTTTACTTTACGAAGCTCTCTCAAAACAATTCTGAGGCATTTTGGGAAAAAAAAGCAAACTGTTATAGCTGAAAGCAACTCTCCTGTCAGCACAAACACTTATAAAAACATCTGTTAAAATACTGAAAAAAAGGCTAGTCAAACTGACTGCAGGGAGCTCCATCTTCGGGTAAAACAGAGCCTTCCCCACTCAAAATATAAAGCTGATTTTATATAGCTCAGAGCTGTTTCAGATCCAGCTTCTGTACTCAGCTTATGGGCTATTCTGCTAGGTGCAAACAGCAGAAGAGATGCATGTAGGACACAATCTTCTGCTCAGGGAGCCCTCAAAAGACTGTTCAGTCTGGATTTTCAACTGGCTTGTGCAGTTACAGAAGGTAAACTAGTGTTCTGCCCCATCCACAAAAAGGCATCAAGACAAATTGAGTTTGAGGAAGATGTGTAAAAGGCAGCTACACTAATACACCATTAACTTTTGTAGCACTGGTTCCGAACGCCGATACGCTGCTATGCTAGATGAATTGTGAGGAGGCAGAGAGCTCACAGTGGCCAGGAAATCTTTGCATTTTATATAAACTCCTATTCTGGCAAATACAGATTCATGCAAAAATGAATTTAAAAAAATTAAAATAAAATCCAAAATCTTCAGAATATGGCTTGATCCCAGCTGGCACAAAATTAAAGTTTTAGCCCAACTCTGAAGTAAGTCACTCCGCTCATCATTTCTTTGGCATGTTTTATGAAAAGGAGGAAACCTGGTTCCCTGCTCTTTCAGCAGAGAGAGCAGTGGAATTTGGACATCTCTTTAGCATGTGCTGGTGAGACAGGGATGGGATGATAATCAGGTTGGGGAGTCCTTAGAGCAACAGATAGCAATGGTGTTTTAAAGCATTAGAAGTTTATTTTATTGCTGAACAGAAAAAAAAGCTCTGTCTGCTTTGGAAGAGGATAACAACAAAGGACCATTAAGAGGCACTTTTTTCCCCTCCAGCGTCATCATTCAGGATACAAGCTATGGACTTCACTTCTGACAGTTTATGCCACCAACTCCATTCTTTGGCAAGGTGAAACTCCTGAAAACTAGGTCACAAAACCCCATTAGGATCCACAGGCCAAGACAGTTGTTTCATGTCTAAATTAAGCAAAGTTCATCCTCTCCAGGTGACTGAAGGTGAAAGCTCTGATGCCCAGTGCTATCTGTACTGAAAACTCCTGCCTGACAGAACTGGGAGAATATAGGGTATGCTGGAGCTCATGCCTGAGCTAACTACTACAAAAAGGACATGGGCGCTAAACACAACAGCTGTAAAATGTGACCATGGTGCTCTCCTAAAGGTGTTTCAGTGTCTTCAGATTTCCTGCAGAAAATACTGCCAGAACGTCTTTCAGAAAACACTGGCTTCAGGGGCAACCATGAATGCTCAAAACCTCCAAGAAACCATATGTCTATGCCAGGAGTGTTACTCCTGTTAGGTTTCTTAAACAACTGACAATAAAATTACTTTCTGAATATCTGCATTTCCAAATTTTCCATTTCTTTTGCCTTTGGAAACAGCAAGAGATGAAAAACTGAACCAAGGCAGGTATCTTTTGGACAGTATTTTCTTAGTTTTCTTCTGGCTGAGGTCTCCTTCTCATATGTATATAACCATGGAGAACAGATGTAAAAAGACTTCAATGCATTTAGTGTGGCTTCAACATTATTTTATAGAGACTAGGATCCCAAACTAAAATTCTAGCATTTTAACAGCAGAGATAGCAAATGCTGACAGATTTTTCTTAAAGAAATAATTACTGTGAAATATTCATGACATTGGAAAATAAAATATATTTAAATATGCATCAATACCTTAGTTCTAAGAAGAGTTACAAAATTTATTGCTTTTCTGTACAATGGTAACTTCTTAGAAGCACATATAGTAATTCTGCTAAAACCAACTCAAACATAAGACATTCATTACATGTTTTCATGATTTTAGGCATCTATTTGGAAAGATCTCCATATCATTGTTAAGGTCTCAACATGAAGTACAAGAGGTCTGATCCTGTAATTTTGCGCACATGTCTGTTCAAAGCAATCAGTCAGTGGAACTAACAACAGTGGAATTAACAACTAAACACAAGTACTGAAAGACCACTCGGTGCACCCAAAACTAGCAGGCAATTAAGCACACGCTGAATCAAGTGTAGCCCTTCCAACTTCAAAATGAGAACATTCACAACCTTATTAAGTGCTTTCAATGGCTTGGGGTCTTTTGTTTAAGGGAAACTTGGAAGGCAATGAATTAAAAGAAAAAAAAAAAAAGAAACAAAAAACCCACAACAACCCTTTCCCCCAAAACAGACTCTGTACAGTTTTAGAATATAATACAATTTCTTTCAAAGAATAAAAAAATATATTGAGGTTAATAAAAATTTGTACTACAAAAATTACTTGCCCTAGATGGTATTAACAACACTATATCCTATAACTTCTTTACCATTGCAATTACACTGAGAGTCTACTCAAGTGATATACAAATTTCAAACTATTCCTGGTATCAGGCTAGAACTGCAATTCTGGAATTTATAATCCTCCATAAAATTACTGAGACCACACACAGTATGTAGCTCTGCCAGACCAACTGCAGGTCATAAATTACATGTGTGTTAACTTCTTCTAAAATGTTCAGTGCCATAATTGGGATATAATCTGCATATACAGTGAGGAAGTTATTTTACATATCAATGGATACTGCAGGTCTCAACATAGCAACAGGAAAATTCAAGGATCGTAATTTTTTCTTCTTTAGTCAAAATTATTTCTGACTATATCCATCACTCAACAGGAAACAATCAACACTCTGTTCTTAATACATTTATTTTGGCTACAAGGCATCTTTGGCACTACCAGCAATGTTTGTTGTCCTAAGCCTGGATGTTAAAATGACTTATCTTAGGGTTCATCTTGAGCTGCACTCTACGTATCCACAAAATGGCAGTAAAAATAGGACCTCATAGCACTCTGCCTGTGAACATCTCCAGAGAAAAAATGGTAAGATAGAACCCTCAAAGTGTAGATATGAAACAAAGCAGACATCTATCCAAAAGACTAAGATGACTGGGAACAGTCCTAGTAGGCACTGTATTTCCAAACACATTTTGTTCTCAGGTTAAAAGACCTGCAGCCTACGGCCTGCCAACAGCAACTGTAGGGAGATACCTTCTGGCTTTTACGAACCTCTTGAACTAGATTTTCCCACAATGGAGCCATCCTGGATTTACAAGCAAAAGCACCATCACTAAATAGCGTATCCAAGATATTTCTCTCCTCCTCTTTTCATTTTATTTCCACATTCTCTAGCAAGAGCTTTTTCTGTACGCTGCTGTCTGCAATCTCCCCTGGAATCCTGCAAGCAATGAGGTCATAACCTTGTGCTTGTGACAGCACTCCAAGGAACCACATGTCCATACACATCCCTACCTTTTCTTACAGAGAAATCTAGGAGAGACAGAAAGAACGCTGAGGAGATTTTTTTTGAGAGGAGCAATGGGTGCATGATATCTAAATACAAAATAAGTTTGTAAGCTAAGCACACATCTCTCTCTGCTGCCAAAAAGTATTCCTCAGTGGGCAGACTGTGGGTCTTAAGAAGCTCTGCCACATTAGGAAATGCCTCCTGGTACACTGCCTAACACATGGCTTCAACGAGAAGCAGAAACAGCAATCTCTATACTTCATTTGAGCAACTCAACTAATAATGATGTGGCAGCTCATGGATACTCCTAAATCCTAAGCAGCTGGGCAATTTTAAGGAAGGATAAAGAATAGGAAATGAAAGTTTTCAATGAATTTTTTCATTTTACCAAAGTTATTCATTTTGACCAGTTTCTCTATTTCTGTAATGTATTAACATTACTCAGCAAACAATACAAGATGAAATAAGATTACTGGGACAATTTCATAGATTTTAGCTACTCTGCCAATTTATAAGGTAGGGAATACGCTTAAAAACATTGTCTGAGATAACTAGAGTTCTCCCAGGCAAAATTAGCAGTAACTAGAGAATAACCTGTTAATAACAGTGACCTGTATTCCAATTGTAATGGAGAAAGGAAATGTAG